ACACGCACACATATGCCTCTCTTGCTTTTGTCACCTTCAAAGCTCCAACCAGTGATTAAAGTGTAGCGGTGTGGGGGAGAAAATAAGGTTTCAGTTGCAGGGGTGAAGAGAGTAGATTAGACCATTACATTTGGAAGCCTAGTTAGCCTGTACAGGTGTGGTTTTTTTTCCAGTAGACTACAGTGTGGGTCTGCTGGTATATGGTAACAGTTAAGACCCAGAAACTACAATACAGTTCTTTGGAAGAACTCAATAAATGTTAAGCTATTTGCAGTCATTTTTAAAATTCCACGTCAATGAAGGCCCTAGGTCACGACAACGTGCCTCCCCCAGGAACATCACGCAAGCCCAAGCTTAACTCCAAGAGCGTAGTGGTCCGTAACTGGGGCTCCTGCACCGTCACAGTGCAAACAACAACGCTGCCCCGTAAGTAAGGATGGTTTCCAGCCTAAGCTTAGGTGCGTTGCTGAGTGGAGATTTCATGTCACGTCTTCCTGGATTTCTGCCTTACAAGAATTAGTGGGGGAACATAAAATATACATCCATCTCATAAGCTTCTTCAAAGTTGTCAATTCAGTAGAAAATGCTGAGTATATAAATGACTATAATAGTACTTAGGTGAGAGCATAAACCTCACTGTGCCTTTTTATTGGGGAATTCAGGTGAGGAGGCAAGTAACTCTTTCACAGACTAAATGCACTCATTCACGGCGCTCAGTGTCCTGAAGTGCCTCAGCATCCTGGCAGCTGTAGGTGACAGTTCCACGATATGTACAAGGTAAGGAGAATGCCACAAGTATTACAAAACATGGCGAAGGTACCTAGGAGCTCTACAATCTATCAAATAAGCACGGCAAACATACGGCATCTAATGGATAACGTATGGTATACAACACACAAGTTGCACAGTTACATGTCCTTGCGAAATCAGGATTGCAAACGTAAACTCCAAAATAGGTTTCAAGAGCAGCATTTGGCTTACTGTGTCACCTCTGGCAACATCTGAAGTCCACCACCCCATGAGCACTGCATTTTCTGCTGTTACAAAAACCGATCTCACTGAACCAACTCGAGCTAGCGGGCCCACGTCCTGCAACCCATGTGACTATGGCAGAGGTTGAACAAAAATGCTCCAGCAACATAGTTTGGCTACCACTGTATATTCAGCCTTTACGTTGTCTGCACTATATAAACGTTGCTCTTGCAAAATAAAGCACACAGTGATATACAAATGGTATCAATGGCTGAAAAGATTACATGGTCAAGCCTGAATGCAAATGGAAGTTAACGAAAGTAGTCTTTTAGGAGAGGTAGCCATATTAGACTCAGCATTCAAAAAAAGGGAGTGCACTCAAAGGGTCAACACACATTACAGTCTCTTGCAGACCTATCATGTTTTTGTTTTTCCCACTTTTTTTTTGCAGAATGTACACACCCAAGCGCACACGCACGCACACATACACACACACGCTTATATATATATACACATCTATCTTTTTTCCTAATTCCCCTTTGTTGCCATAACTTTGCCATACTGAGAACAACGGCCAGCTTTCCTTTCATCCCCTCTTAGCTGTCCCATGTCTACAACTGTTGCCTTCAGTCTGTTCAGTATCTGTACAGTAGCTAAACAGGCAGTGGAAATGAAAACTGCTTCAATTTAATATCCTGTTCCAAAAGATATCATCCAAACTGTAAGGCATTCCCTCGTTCTGATGTGAGTTACAACTCTCTTGGGTTTCTACTTGATGCAAACTGCAGAGTGCTCTTCAGCCTTGTGCTACAAAGGCAGCTTTCACCCAAATAATACAGACCGAAGCTGGAATTTAAAACCACAAGTTCACACGCTTCTACCAGTCCCTTGTTCCTGTGCCCCTTTCCAACAACGCTTATCACTTTAATTTCAAAAGTCATGCACCAATGCTATAAAATAGATACCCAAACTACCAAGAAGTCTCTTGCTCATGACTTTGGGATATTGTATTAGTATAAAAGAGCATTCAGTCATCTTAAATAAATATATTCTATTTCTGAAATCACAGCACATTCAAGGGGTAGTTACTGCCATAAGCAGAGCTTTAAGTAATCTCCATAGATGTTTTTAGAATCATAGAATCATTTGGGTCGGAAAAGACCTTTAAGATCATCGAGTTTTGATTGATTTGGTCTAATATCTGCAAAAAAACCTACTGTGGGGATAAGAATCTGCATCTCAAATGTTCTGCAGAACATTTTTCCCATATTTGTATACAGTACTAGAACAGTTAAGAAGACATTACAGTAATTTTCTCCCAGCTGCTTAGATCTGTAGCTTCGGCTACGATAATGTATTTTGTATACCTCAAAACTACATATGAAATATCAAAGATCACTAAATAAATAAAAGCCAAGGAAAACTGGGACAGTACTGCATTTTACACTTGAGACAAGATTCCCCCCTCCCATGGATAAGTCACAGAGGACGACTACGGTAAATGCTTTTCTTTTTTTTTAAAGAAAGATTTATACACAGGTTCAGATCCAGAAAATAATGTGAAATGCATAAATATTGATAGCTTTAGCTAAGTTAAAATGGGTTCAGTAAAGTATGATACAACATATTCAGAATAAACAAAGCAGAAAAGCATCATATTTTGGTTTGCTTGAGATATACATAAGGTGCAACAATTTCTTCTCTAGAGGCATTTGTGGACAATGTGTTAACGGGTAACAGTGTTTGCTGGTATACTGAAGTACACACAATAGCAATAAGATTTTCCAAAATGAAAGCAGCTGAAATTAATAAAAATTAAAACAAAACAAACAAGGAAAAAACCCAACCCCAATACAGTAAGATATTGGTCTGAAATTTTTGTTGTGCTAACAGACTTTGTTACCTGAAAATACTGATACCCCTTCTAGTAGATTCAGGGAAAATTCTAGCTACCAAAATCAAGACATCACTCAGAGAACCAACAAAGGCAAATGCCTAGTGAACTATAAAGCTTTGCAGGATTTCTGCTACTCTCAGTGCCTAATCGCTTAAAAATTAAGCATATCTACAAAAAGGTTTATAAGTATCTGAAAACAGTCATATCCAGTAAACTGACCCAACCCTACCCCCTCTCTAAGGGAAAGTCAAGGAAAAGCAGATCAAGTAAGATATTAATTCATATAGAAAAAAGTAATTTTCTGTTTCTTTTAAAAAAGGTACCATTAATATACAGAAATATCTTCAGGAACAATATTGAAATTTAAATCGAGGAAGGATGGGGTGCTTTGACAAAAATATATCTACTCTAAAGGTTTCTAGAGAAATAAGTTAGTACCATTGTCAACGTGAACGGCCTGCACTGTAACATATTTGGATTTCAGCTAATTATAAAGTGGTCCAAAACTCCAACAGCCACCCTGCTGTGACCCAACAGTTTTAAGTCTTTTAAGTTTTTCCTGTCTTGTTAAAATAACTTATAAAACTTTAATAGAATCTTATTAAAAATACTGCCATAGGCTGCAATGGCATTCTAGGGGCTCTTAGTCATATATTCACCTGAATTTTTAAAAAGCCTTTTCACTGACTCATTGGCTCGTAAATTTTGTTGTTCTTTTGTTGTTCCCTTCTTCCAACATATGCATCCTCGATGGTGCTGTTTCAGTGACACTTCCCCAGCTACCTGCCTTTTGTCAGACCTTTAATCCTTTGTTACAACTCGTGTGGTATGTTGTATATTGTTTCCCGACACTGAACCAAAGACTTTCACTTAACTACAACAATGAAAGGCTAAACCTAGCAAGCATTAATAGAGTTACTGTCCATATGGCTATTACATCAAATCAGTTACAAAATAACCCCAAAACACATTATCAATTCAGTCAAGTATAAATAAGAATGCCTGATAGAATGATGTAAACTCGCATCATTTAAAGACTTAATTCAAAGAACTTCAAACTCAATCTAATACTATCAAAAGTTCAGCCGGTATGACGAAGACCAATAGAAAATTATTGCTGGAGTCCAATTTGGTAAATTGTTGTGCTACAATGCAAAAAGTAGGGAAACATCTTGTGCTATAGAAGAAGTACCCTGTTGAATTTGTAGCTTTAGATCAATTACTAGTGATCGTTTTGCATCTGTTGGTAGGAATCAATGCTTGGTTATACAATAGTGTAAGTCAAGATAGCGAAGATAACAGGCCAAGTGATACACTTGGCCTGCTTTTGGGATGTATTTATGAGAGCAGAACACAAAAATTCAATATAAGCAAAGACAGAAACTGGCAGATGGATCTGTTTGGTAGTCTGAATTCAGTCAAACGTTACTCTTCGGTTGTAGTTCATCTGTATACAACTTGCCACTTTACCAATGCAAACTGTAATTGGCCCTTTATGCAAACTCTGAAGCCGATTTGGACTGTGCATAGTAACTACAACAATGCCAGTGTCTGTAAAATGTAAAAGGTACGTGTATCGGTGTACATGTATATCGAAAAGTCACGGTTTTAGTTTTTTCAGAACGGTGAAATAATACTAAGGTCACTTTTGAAAAACACATTTGCAGTACTTTTTGTTTACAGGAAAGTTTCACCAAGTCGCTCAGATATCTATGCAAAAATAAAGGAACCCTCCAAGGCATGAAAGACAAGTCAATTATCTGCAGTATTTTCTTTTCCATACACCACTCCTTTTTCTAATGCACATCATCCTGGTTATTCAAAGCTAAATTGAAAAGAAACAAACCCAAACATAGCCTGTCAGAATTTTTGCCAGTAAACTCTACCACTCTGGTGGCAAATATAAAAGTGCAGAACATCTGGACCACATGGCTGCCCAAACACCGCTAACAATGGTACATCTGTCCAGGCTGCCTTGAGTTCTCTGGAACAGGTTTTAAATTCATTCTACAATATAAACGTAGGCATAACCTATTAATATAAACCATCTTAGAACTCAAATCTTCATGTACAAAAATGACTAAGAATATCTAATAATAACTAGTGCAGTGCGTCAGTGTTTTTGTTGTTGTTGTTTTTTTTTTTCATTTTCATTTAGAATAACTAGGTATTATACGAAACTAGTTGCCGTACTCTCTGGTTGGTAAAAGAGATGCTGTGTGAGCTAACAGTAAAGGCAGCCTTTTTCACACCAACCACCTATTTACTGTTTAAAAGCCTTCAATAGAAAGCAAGCTCTGGGATCATTCCACTTCTGTTCATTAATAGACAATTAATATCACCCTCCTACATACTGGGTTCCGATTTGAGGACCTGGCCCAAGTTGCTAACGTCTGGCTTCCAGTGAATTCTGGGCCACTCAGAGCAATAAGCACTTGCTTGCAGTCTACAGTTTCCATCATATGGACTGACTAGCTTCCCTTGGTAAAGACAAGGCTAGGATATTAGGTAAAGCACAATGTTTTACAATAAAGTGGAGCTTCACTGGTCAGCGCAGGAAATAAGCACTGGAGCCTGAGACATTTCATTTGGCTGTCCGTCATGTGGGAGAGGTGTGGCCCTCTGACTTCTGCAAAAGAAGAAAAGAAAAGCCACCCATCATTATTTGGAGCACGGGAAGCGCTTTTATCAAACCAGAAAGGATGGAAAGCGGCACGTGATATGGTTTAACATCTGACATGACAGCACCGTAACTCCCTGCTGCTACAAATGCCTGCATACCGCTGTTACATGCTCTTTTTAGAGGTATTCCTGCAACAGTAACAATATCCTGAGGACAACCTGCAACACAATGCAAAGTCAGGCAAAACCAAGACATGATGGTATCTGACTACACAAAACGAAATGCACAGCTAAAGAGTAAGTTAAGAGCGCATGAGTGCTGTTACGCATTTTGTAAGGGAGCAGCTACAGCCCTCAGAAGCAGAGAGCACAGCTCATGTGTGGCAAAAGAAGGTAAATGCAGAGAGGCATATATCATGTTAATGCGAGTCAATAGCCAGCTTTTAAGCAATATGGAAATACACTCATCAGCAGAGTTGCACATTGGGATTGCTCCAAGTTTCATGACTTAACACTTCATCAGCCCAGCACAACATCTCTTTCACTACTACAGAAATGATCCCCTGGCACAGGGTATCATAAAAATAAACTGCGCCAGCATTATGTGCTGGAAATCAACATCGATCATTGTAGCAGATGGACTTGGGAGAGCTCCTTTGCAGCTTGCCTTTTAAAATACATACACAAAGCACGTCACCGCTGGTTATCTAATCTCTCAAGTCAGGTTCTATTTTTGTTACGGTATGTGTCATTTGCAGCAATGAAAATCTGGAGCCCACTTCTTATTTACATGAGGGCCACTTTAGCGCACTCTGGTACAGCAGAAATGGAGATACCAACAGGCTTTGCACAACCGGAGTACAATGAAGTGGCCTTGGCACAAAATGCAGCTCAGGCTCACAGCGCTTAACCAGAGCACGCACAAGGTAAATAAAGCTAAACAGAAGCCTTCAAATGAAAACCATGCTGCCACTTCCAGACAAGCTCTAATTACAGTTAAAAAGGAGTTTGGCTTCCATGGCCCAAGGCTCTGTGAAATTATTTAATAATTAAATTCAGACACTGAAGAAACACATCAAGCAAACCTCTAATGCTGCTGTTCTCATTTCTGGCTGTTTGCAAATAAAGAAGGGAGTTGCAAAAGACAACAAACAGTCGACAGAGTAGAAAACGGAGAAGCATCTAGCCCATCAGATTTAGGTTTCTGTTTTGGCTCCCATTTGCCAAGTCTGTGAGAGACATGGCGAAGTTTCTATGGGGAAAGAGTCTTCCCCTGTTGTCCTTTCCCCCCAGGGTGATGACAAGCTGGAATTTGCCAACAGTTGCTGGACATTTGCCGGTTTGGTGTTTTCAGGCCTCATGGAAGGTGCTGCATCGCTCTAGCTGCATGATGAGGAGACGAAAGGTGGGAGAAAAAGACCCAAACAGAAGGCTATGTAAAACATTAGCTCGCTTCAACAGGGACAAAATGAGGACAAGAACTCTGAGATGAACAAAGGGAAAAACCACAGCGAAGCGAATCCTGTTGCTTTTGTGCCATTCTGGTCAGCGTTAATGGAAATCAATGAAACCACAAGGGTGTGAGTGAGAGCAGAGCTTAGCACAGCACTTCCCAAGTCTCACTTTGTGGCTTCTGACCACAGAAGACAACAGAAACGAGTTCAGGCTTTTGCTGTCTTGATAACAGACATTTGTTTTCCAGTGCTGGGAGGAAAGGCCAGGCTAACTGCAGTGTGAAAACACTTCTCACCCAAAACAATGTTGCTTAAAGCAAGACAACAGCTTCTGCAGAGAAGAGCTAGCAAGCTGCGTTCAGCTGACTTTTTTTTCTTGTAGGGCCCCCCTTCTAAAAAGCCTTTCAATGTTTGATGTGCAGCCTGAACACACAGGACTGGGCTGGCCGATGGGGGCCACGAGATCAACAGTAAACTGAGGTTGTGAATGGTTTCATCAGCTGCTGCCTTGTGGAGTTTCTTAGGCAGCCAGCAATCTGTCAAATGCCATTTGCAGAGGCTGTGATGGTTTCAGACTGGCCCAGCATTTCCTCGCTGACTTTACACTGCAGGAAAGGATGGGGTTCCATCTCCAGTAAGCTGCAGCATCAAAAAACCACTGGATAATTAAGAGCCAAGGAAGAGTTACTGTCATTGGTTTCCTCCCATCCCAAGTCTAGCATGCAGGATCTGACCATGCTGAACTGATCCAACAGCTCTAAGTAACCTGCACACTCTCCACCTCATCTGTGTGGATGGTCTACTCAGTAACTGAGAGGACCAACCCAAATTAACACGGCTTTCCATCACCCAGAGTCGTTCTGCCCCATGCCGTTCTGCAGACGCTTTGCCTCCTACACAGCAAAGCACACGATTAAAAATAACAAGTTAGCTTCCTTCAGCCATGTTCAGCATAAAAACTGCAGCTGAAGTTATATGAAATTCTCTCCAAGGTCTTAGGCCACTGAAAAATGCAAATCAGCATACAATAGCTATTTAAATCTGTTATTATCTGAAAAATTGCATCTGATAATTAGAAACCCTCAATCATTAGGATCTCAAAGAGTATATGAACCTGTTTATATACAAAAATTGGTAGGTAAGCTTACCAGGGAGGATCATTTTGCTGACTACTGAAATAGATTACATTGTCATTTAGGTGAAGACTTAACACTGCTAAGCAAGTGGTATAAACCAGACATTCATAGAAAGCTGTGGAAGAGGAAACACAGGCCAAATTAAACAGTCTGCAGTTCACATGCTTTCTGAACAAGCTGGCAGCCACATACTATTCACTTAGACAACAAGAGGAAAAGAAAACCATACCTGTGTACATTTTCCATGGCTGCAACTTCTGCCAGAGCAGCTAAGCTAAAAAATGCAGACACCGCTGGCATATCTGATGTAATACTATGATTTTCTTCTGTCTCTGCATTTCTGGAGCATTCACTGTTGCAATCTGTTTCTGCACTTGATGTTTTTTGAAGAGTACTTTGTGGCAGCTCTTTTGGCTTCTCCTCTGCAATAAAAGAAAATTAAGCTTGCAAATCTAGCCCTTGAATTCACAGCAGCCCATCGATATACTGACTACTCTGGTGTTAACAGAATCTTCACCTTTAGGAATTTGATTTTGCAAGTGTAATCCAATTCATGCTGCAACCTCTTCTGACCCAAGCTATTGGCAGAAGCACAGTACTAAGGTTTATGAAGCAGTTTACTGACTTTGCATTCAACTGAGTTTGATCTTTTAGGTCAGGCAAGAGAGCTTTTGTGTACGTTTTAGATACAGAAGTCCTGAAAGATTATCTTAACTGCAGAGGACTCTTGCAAGGACTGTGGCATTGATTGTCATATTATGGAATTCATTTTTACATCCCATAACTAGGTGTAGTGTAATTTCTTTGCTGGACTGGAAGCAAATAATGAAAGATATCATTCTCCATTTCTCTCTATATCAGCTCTCAGTTCTTAGAGAGAAATACCCAGGGAAAGAAGACAGATTTGGGCATTCAAACAAAAGAAGTCGGCCATTATGGACTCAAATGATTTCCTAGTTGATTGATACCTGTATTTTAAAGAATTATCTTTTCTAAGCAGGTATGAAACAAACTAACTGAAAAATACTTCCCTGATAAGTTGCTTGTACTCCCAAACCTTCTCCAACCATTCAGTTTTGACAAAATCTAAACTCCAATTTTCTTACCCACTGTCCCTCCTGCTGGTGACACTCGGCCATCTGCTGTTCGGACAAGATGTGTGATCTTAGTTTTTCTTGCTTTCCTTTTCTGGCTGCCAACTAAAGGCTCATGCATCATTGCTGGCTCTGGAGTGTTTAGGGCAGATATAGAAATTTTGTTCTTCCAGGCAGACTCACTGGAATTTCTGTCTTCTGAGAGTATGGCTGAAAGAAGATAAAAATGCAGGTTTACGTGTAGAATAATTCAGCTACTAGCTACACTCATTTACCGTTTTGCATTTATCTGCATAAAGCCTTCCCTCAAAGGTACTCAGAGCATAACCCATGGCAAGATATGATCCGAATGCTGCAGATACTTGCAGGGGAATAGTAGCATCAGCTCTTAAAGATATCCTGGAAGGTCCAAGTTTCTAATACTTGCAAAGAAAACTGAGACGGGCAGAGGCACTTCAGTGGGAGCAGGGTATCAGTATGTATAAAACACTCTGTAACAGAAGATGCCAGCAAGTAGCTAAGAGACAAAAATGTATTTAAGGAACAATAATGGTCCTCACATAAGCTTATCTTAGAGCTCACAGATGGACTCACAAGCAGAATTTAGGAATTCCTGACTAACCTCCAGTCTTCCCTCTATAGTCACTCTACATCACCTCCTCTAAGCAGAGGGAAATACTGCCTTTTACAAAACAACAAATCTTCAAAAACATCCATAAGGCAGCAAATACAAAAGCAGAGCTGGACCACAGTTGAAGACAAGAATGCTAAAAAAAGAAAACAAGCACGGGATACTGTGACAGAAATACTGCCTACGTAAAGTCAGAGAGTGAGAAAGGAACAGTTTGAATCTTTCTCAACAGCACCGGTGTTGGCGTTTTGAAGTAGCCTTCTGCCCTGAACCGGAACATGATCACAAATCTTCACCTGACTGAATAGTCACTTTAATCTTGTTCATGAAGAAATTGGTCAGACAGCAATCACAGAAGTATTTAAGCTTCTGAAGTCTGAGATCAGTGTGTAGTTATCGATCACTTGTAATTTCCATTGATTTAATAAGCCACACTGCTGATACCATAGGGTATCACTAGTCCATAAATTCAATCTGTGACGTCTTTTTTCCTCCTGTGATAAAGGTATTACAAGGCCTACCCCATCTGCGATCACTGTAAGCTAGGGTTAGAAAGAGACTGCAGGTAGCAAAGGGAATGCCCAAGTCATTTCTTACAGATGCCTGTCTAACCTGTTTTGAAATTGGGAGCACTCATGGCATCTGCACCAAGTCCTCAGTGTATTTTTTCCCAGTGCACTGCCATCCTGAACGATGTTTTTGATTGTTCACTTTCTGGGTGGTAGGAACAGCAAAAATGACGCGCACAAAACTCAAGCCAGAGTGCAAACTTTTCAGGGCTCAGCACTGAACAAGACCAACCTCCTACACTGAGACTGGTCCTGTTGCGCAGGAGCACCCAACCCCACAAACCATGCACAACAGCCAAGCAGTCTGCATGGACTGTGCCCTCTTTCATTTTAGTGTGTATTTACTGTTTATTTATTGTGTGGTTTGTAGATTTAATGAGCTTCCTATTCAAAGATACGGCTAATATAACCTCTATCTTTTGCTAGCTTCTTTAACTGTTAACTGTGCAAGGATGTGGACTGGGTGAAGGGAATAGCTTAACACATTTTATCTTGTTAGCTGTTGCCCTTTGCTCTTTTAAGTGGGAAGGGACCTTCTAATGTTTTATGACATAAGATACAGTCAGATCTAGTACATATGTATAAAAACATTTGGAAATGTTTCAAACCTTAATTTGTTTATGTTCTTAATTCACCTTCATATCTTCTCTCGTAAAACATTTTTGAAATTGTGCATGCTCTTTATTTTGAAAAAAAGCACACAGCTTCAATTAGCTTTTCTCAGCATTTAGCTACAGCTGCTAACCTTTCCAGAGCAGAGCTATGCTGTAAAACGTACTTTTTTTAAAGAGAGCAAGAGAAATCACAAGAAAAGATCTGCCCTGTAACAGTCCAATTAAGTAGAAGCACCCATAACTCAACTGGGCTAATAGTGAGATGTTTAGATAAGCTTACTACGCGGATTGAGACCAAAATCTTAATTGGAATGTATAATTAAATGGGCAGTTTTCTCTCTAGATTTCTTATTTGGGAATTCATAAGAGTTGATTATGTATTAATGTAATGGTTTGGTTGTAGTCCAACACTATTTGTTAATTCTGATATGGGGATTTGCTCTAATTAGATAGTACTTTGACAGTGCTGTTTAATTCTAGTTTGATTGAGTTTAGAATGGCTTTAATCTTAGCAATATGAGTCACTTTTTTTTTTTTTTTTTTACATTTAATAAAAATATGAAGACCTGATTTCAAACAATAAACAACATAGGACAGAAAGAAACCTGATCTGGTATGTTTTGAATTAGATGTGTTGTATATTACAAGCCATGTCAGGTCACTAGAAATTAACTTGATTGGTCAATACAGTAGACAGTTCCCTTTTCCATTTGTTTTCTTTCTTAACACCGTATCCGTCAAAACGCTCAAGAAATTAAAGATAAGAAAAAACCTTGAAAGGTAAAATAAAAAGAGGCAATAGTTATTAAAGACATAAGAAGGAGTATATGATGTTGGTGTGTTTGACTAAGAAACAGCAGAAGGAGGCCGATAAGCTCAGGAAGCAGCAAGTATATTCTCTCTCCATGTTTTAAGGTTTTTCAATCCTTGAAATGAGACTTGAGAGTCCTCTACTTTTTTTTGTCCTCTAGCTCTAAAGTAAGCTCTTTATCACTTCATCCTAACATTGCTGTCATACAATTTTGAAGAAGGAAGGTTTAAAGGTGAACAACGAATGAGTATTTTTGTGTGTGTGTGTGTGGGTGGGTGGGTGTTGAAGAGAAGAGCTTCTTTTTTCTTCTCTAGCAGTCTTAGTGGACATTGGGATAAGAAATCATTTCCTTGACTTCTTTATAGTTTATTACTCAAGCAGACACAAAACCTAACTTGGAGGAAATCGCACAAAGGCTTCACTCCCAAGACCCTCTGCACTGAACTCCAGAGGAGAAAGGAGTCCATGCTGCAACAACTGCAGAGCTAAGCTAGGTGCTAACAGGGGTCCTCCTACACCTCCTTCCAGAGGAACAGCACCCCGTTGCTTCAACTGACAAAGGTATATTCCATACGAATGCTCCAAACCAGGACTCAGTTTTGCTGTGCAGAAAGGACAGGGCTAAACAAGTTTAATTTCCTCTATTTTCCTTTAATAATTTCTTTAATCTGTTTCACATCCCTTCTGTTTCCACACAGTCCCGTGTTCAAGAGCTGTCCCATGTGGAGCTCAGCTAATTTTCAGGAGAATGTTGTCCAGAAATGAAATGAGGTTCTGCAGCTACTGTGCAGTCCTGCAAACAGGTATTTACATGGTTAGCTTTCCACATGACAGCAGCACATGCAGAACTACGAGCTATTTTTGCAAGCGGAGTTGAGCACATGATATGAAGATGTGGGCCTTTTGGCATGCTTACACCACAGTGACAAAAATGACTTTAAGAGAAAAACATCTAGAGCTCTATGCCAGATGGTTTCCTGAGCTAGATTTGTTAAAAGTTAGCATGGAGAGTTTACCCTACTCTGCAGGCATGCAGAATACATGTAGTCTTATTTCCTCCCATCTTTGTGAACAAGAAAAAGGAAGTCACTTGGACTGACTCAGCACACTGCAGAAGAGGACAAGCTTTTCAGACTGAACACAGATAGATTTAAAAGAATTTCTTCAGCAGTGTATGTTATGAGAGAGAGCTGTGTAAGTTTAACTACATTTAGTGGAGAATGAACGCTCTGTGGGTCTAAGCATGCTGGTATCAAGAAGGAAAGGCAGGCTGTGATGCTTTAGCGGTCTTGATGAGGTTAAAAAGGGAAGCCTAGCAAGGCAGAGCAAAGCTTCAAGTGACCAGTGCCTGGGGACCCACTTCACCAAGGAAGTGACACCAAGCACACTCTGACCTGGTGGAAATTCCAGCTCTTCTGGCAACAGGGTGCTGCTGTGATATCGCTTGTGGGGTCAGGCGGCACAGGGAGCTGCAGCAAGGGCTGGGGACTAACGAGCAGAGAGACACCAGCTGACAAAGCAGCAGATGGTCAAGCCAGGTGTATGCAACAGCTGCCTGGATGGGAAGCTCTGCTGCAAGAGCCTATGCTGACCCAGCCCTCTTCAAGCCTGGATGGATGCCAAAGGCACAGTGACACAGACTGCTGGGTCCCTCTGGGCTGCAGGCCCCACACAACAAGGCTTTCTCAGCAGAAAAAAAAAAAAAAAAAAAAAAGGTCATTCTGCTAATTTTCTGCACTTTCTGTTCTTTCCCAAACACATGTGCTAAGGCTGTACAGACTGATGTGCGTGTGGGAGAGCTGATGGAGGATCAGTAGCAGGCAGTTAGCCCTACCAGCCACAGGAGAGGGGCTCCTTCACACATCAGCTAGGGTTGAGGCTGGTGTGTATGTTCAGGTCCTCTTCTCCCCTTCTGGCGCAAAGGCCAGCATTGCATCTGCTTGTTACAGAAACTATGGAAGAGCCCTCAGCACAGCTCACTAAATGTACCTGCAAGGAGTCAACAGTTGTGACTTACCCCTTGTTATTTAAAGTATTGCTTCCCGCCAGAAAGCCTTGACAGCGTGGCAGAAAATAAATCTCTCAGCTGAGGGATGTTCAACCTCCCCAAACAGGGATGCGTCCAGCTGTGCTTCTGTCAGCCCTCCTAAGGAAGTGACATCTCTCAACATATTCAGTTGCATTACTGTGTGCTCTCCGCTGGGAGGAGCAGGGGTTGTGGGATGTCCACTGGTATTTTACTGGGCTGTATTTATCTCTATAAACACCTGCAAACTTGTAATACAGTGATTTACACTGGTGATGCTGTGTATGATGTGGTCACATGGAGTCAAAATTCACTTGGATACTCAAACCAGAGACAGACCCAGACAACATAATCCAATCGCATCAAAATTTGCCTTTACTGCACTTACTTTTCCTCATTCAAAACACAGATGCACACAGGCACGCACACTTTTCAAGATGACAAGACATGAATCCAGCATGACCTCTGCTGACAGCAACCCTTCCAAGTGTCTCCTCTTCAGCTATAAGAATATTCAAGCTCCTTCCTCCAGCAAAATTAACTCCATAAAAACCAAAACCACACATTATAGACTTGTGACTCACCACAAGTATAGACTAACCACAAAAAGGAGTTGAAATTTTCATTTAGTGTTTGATTCACTAAATCCTTGTACATTTGAATTGAAATGAAGATGCTGGGATTCCCAGCTTGAATGCTGCAGAACATGGGACAGTGGAGTCAAAGAGTTTAGGGCCCCACTGCCTAGGAGCTCATGAAAGGATGAAGTTACATGATGGCAAGGCTGTACGCTGCCTGCCAAGGCCAAACCCACACTGCACACTTTGCTGATCAACACTTTGCTTTCGGTGTCACTACATGGTACACTTAAGAGTAGGCAAGACCCCAGACTTTTTCCCCTTTGTAACTCAGAGAAAATGCAGTTCCCCACCAATATATATACCCACTGTCTTTCCTTCATGATTTCTACGTGGGCTGTGTAAGACTGGTAAGTTCCTTGTGTCTTTGCTTCAGTCTTGGGAGGAACTTAACAAACTGGCCCTACTCCAGCAAACGCAGAGACACATCTTTAATGTTCAGACACGATGACATTATTCACATGCTTAACTTCCAAGGAGATGCCTCTGTGCTGTGCTGGAACACAGCCAGGGTACTCAACACTTGCCAGGCTTGAATCTTTGATCATAGAGCACGCTTCACTTTATATCAGAACAGGCTGGTGTCTTTTAATCAAATGGAGGTTTTGACATTTTGTTTAGCCACATTTTATATCTGCAGATTTTAAGATATTTGTATTTTTTACTCTATCACGTATTAAATGTTTTCTGTTTCTTTTCCCATAGGAGAATTTAAACACCCATTTTTCTTACTAATTTGTCTACATGGTCTATTAATAATTCAGTTACAAAATTCTGAACGGCACCCAATAAAAGCTATGCTAATGTATGATGCCTTTTTCACACTGGCATGGAAGCAACATAGTTACTTCTCATGAGCAACTCCCACAACATGTTTGTCGTACAAATACAAGGTAACAGAGCACGTAATTTCAAAATATTTGCACTGTTGAATGCAGCAGAGCTGGCAACACCTATGTGGGAAAATAGTGCATGTGCACCACAGAGGACGCAAAACATAGCATCAAGAAAGGAGAGAAAATGACATGGCCAAGCCTTAGGGTAAGATATTAAGCATAAAGGTAGCTGGGGGAACTGGAGATGGGGATAGCCATTTTATTATCTTAAAAAGAGAGATATGGATGGGGAAAAAAATGGAAGAAATTAATGGAGCTACCTAAGTAAGCAGAACCAGAGAGGTTCTTCTGCACCACAGGGACAATGCAGGAGAAAACTCCCGTGTGGAAGGGCTAAGGAACAGCCTGGGCATGATTTGGATAGCGTGAGCAACATGACTACAAAAGAAAAAAGGGCTAAACTATAATCCTGTACATACTGTACACTTGAAAATGCCCCTCAGAGTTACGAGTATGTAGGTATGCAGGACCACAATACTGTAACAAGAAAAAGACTTTGCAGAGCTACCAGCAGGACAGCAGGCAGAGCAAGTCCAGGACATAACTTAAAAAACTGTCGAAGTTATCATCAATCTGCGGGAAACAGAAAGCTGGTTAAGATTTCTACAGAGGGAGGGTTGGTTTAGATTAGTATTTCTGAGAGCTGGTGCAGAAACAAGCTCTTACATCCTGACCAGCTGCAGTCTGCAAAGTTCTAGACAGTGGGAAATCACAGGGAGAGGAGATAGGGATTACGGATAAATGCTCTGGCAAAGGGATAAATAATATGGTTTCTGATACAGAAGGGATGGAGAGAAGAGGAACCAAAGGAGTAAAGAGCTGCGAGCTGTAGAAAGTAAGGAGTTCAGGGCCAACCGCAGAACTGCCCTTGCTTTGTTAGCTCTGTTGCACAGCATCTGGAGCAGGGAAACGATAATTAAGGGAGATGCCAATTAAAAACAAAACAGCATCATACTGGAATAAGGTAATATGATCAACTGGAGCCAGGAGCTAATGGAATCAAAGCAGACAGGAAATAAGGGACCAAAGCAATCAAAGACTAGAGAGCTGAGCAGCCTCTGTCTAGAAGCATTTCCCCAAGACTGAATTGAGAGAGAAGGCGGCCCAAAACCTTAACTAAGTAATGCACCAGTACCTGTGTCCGGAACATTAAGCTTCTCCTTCCTGTGCTTACATTTGCTGACAATTTTGTGGAATAAGTTCTTTTTCTGAGACTGGAATGAACCTACAGACAACATTAATAATACATACTTTTAATTAGCAGTTTTAAAAAGAGTACAACAGTCACAGTATGTACTATACAACCTCCCCTTCCACTAATATAGGATGCCATTTCATGGGGAAGCAGAAAACCTGACTTTCTGCCAGAATGGACTCTGGAGGTTTTCAACAGGCTGTACTTCAACCCATCAGCTCCCAACGCTGAAGTACATACAAAGCATTTTGGAGAATGACCACCTTAGGAAAGCTTAGCCATACAAAAAAACAAGGGGTTTGCTTGCTTGTTTGTTTAAAGATATGCTCTCTTTTGGATGCGTACTGGGTTTGGCTGGAATGGAGTAACCTTTCCTCATAGCAGCCTGGATGGTGCTGTGTTTTAGACCGGTGACCAAAACAGTGCTGGTAACACACCAATGTTTTAGTTACTGCTGAACAGTGTTTACAGAGCACCAAGATCTCCCTTTCTCACTCTGTTACCCCAGCAAGTAGGCTGAGGGTGCACAAGAGGCTGGGAGGGGACACAGTTGGGACAGCTGACCCACACTCACCAAGAGGTATTCCATGCCATCGAACATCACTCTCAGCAATAAAACTGGGGGGACAGTTTTTTTCCAAAGTAGTCATTGCTCATGGACTGGCTGGGCAGTGCTGGGTGATGAGTGCTGGCTTTTGCATCACTTGTTTCTCCCCACCCCCCTTCACTTTATAAACTGTCTTTATCTTGACCCGTGAGGTTTTTTTCTTGCTTTTGCCCTTCCAGTTCTCTCCCACATCTCATTGGGGGAGGGTGGGGGCTTACCTACCAGTCAGGGCCAACCCACCACAGGATGCAAGTTACCGTTGCCTTTTTGCTGACCAGAAATGAGCTTGTACTAAGTGCAGAAGTAAAAGCTCCCAGGAGAGGAAGAAGAGGTTATGCCCAGCTCATGGTATCATTCCTACTTTGATAGCAGAGTCTTTGCTAGTAGTAGTCAGAAAACACCTTATGTGACATCAGAGCACAAAGTATGCCACTAGCAGAGGTCATCAAGAAGCCATCCTTTGTCTCATTAATGGAGTAAACAGTGATACAGCAGCAACATAAGATGTAACAGACCAAAGATAAAACAGATGCATAATCTCTACACTCCATTTTTATGGAGTTACTTGTCAGAAACTGAAATCTTATTTCCAAAGATACAGCAGGCAAGCAAGTCTTCAGGCTAGCTAAGAACAGAGCTGCCCAAACAGCGATGAGATGCACTGCAGGTGACAAGAGGGCTTATAGACTAACAAGAGGGTGTCCTTCCCATCTGCAGCTGGCTTGGAACAGGATTCTACCCACCACAAATACCATCCTCCTCCGCTCCTCCTCATCCTTAAAAGGAACCAGACACACACATTGGCTACTAAGACACAACTGTAACCATGTACTAACAAGCGATCAAGGTAAGTCTACATCACACATCTGCAATGTGCCATCACTGACCCTCTATATGCAGGGAAAGAAGGAGAAAAGTGTGTGTGGCACGTGGAAGAAGGATCTAGTCTTATGAGGGGAAAACCATTCATAGGCACTAGGCTGTTTGAATAATACTGAAAATTACTGAGAAAGACCTAAAATCCAGCCAGACACAGGCAAAGAAATCCTAAGATTTTGTACATGTTGCCTTTGTGGCTCACTGTTGCTTGTTTTTTACTACTGAAGAAATCAAAACTTTGGGAAAAGATTAATCATCTCTCAAAAATCTAGAAGTCAAACAACAAACCAAATAAAGTCCAAGTGACACACCATCTTAGGCAACATCAGCTTGAATTTGAATAGCTTCACTAGAACTTGTATAGCAAGTATCAGAAAGTTCAATAGAAGGGGCCATATTCACTCAAACTGATTCAAGTGTCATTCTGCAAATTTTACAACAGCTTCTTGAGTATCACAGAGTTGGATAAGCAGTCTAGTGTCAGTGCAATAAAAATGCAAAACAAGGAATGAAAAAGCTCAGGCAGGTTGAGGGAAAACCTAAGTGAAAAAAATGAGCTTTTCTGAAGACTAAGGTCAAACACTTCACCACATCAACAGAGACAAGTCTTCCCACAACAGTTCCACAAGAAGACAGAGGCACGTAACTAGACGATTCTTATGATGGTTTTATTTTTATTTTTTTTTAAATTGGCAAATTAGTGATTTTTGCAGATGCTTGGAATAAGAACACATTACACAGTATCACAGAAGTCTCCATTTCTACAGCTCAACCTGCACCCTATAGACCATTTCAATCAGTATCATAGACTGTCAGCCAGTGCCAGCAACTCTAAGCAGAATAACTGAGATGAAAAATTCACAAAAAGATGACAAGCATTGCATGAAGAAGGAAACCCGTGTCTTTCATCTCTTTTCTACCACCCAAGGCACCTCTGTCATAAGCTTGTATCTGCGACATGTAGGGTACTCCAAGGCACACGCCACTAGCTTGTAGAAATTTGTTCCCAAATGGAAAAATCCAAGGACATTGACTTCAGTGGGGTCAAAAGAGAAACTGCCTTTTCATAAGGAAACTTCCAATTTCCTACCCTTTTAGCTGTTATTCCTGTGAGACAGTGCCCATTGACACTTGAATACCTTTTGGCCATGAATGCAGTGAAAGAGAAGATGGGCTAAGAGCTAAACAGGTCAACATGTCATGCTTGGACCTGAGAATATAACTTCTGACTCCATGAGAAACTTCATCCACACTCCCTGCCTGAACTACTTAGATTGAACTAGAGGATACGCTCACTGTCCTCTGTGAAAAGCCAAATTACAATCACTCTGACACTTACACATATAAATTGTCTAGTAATTACTGAACAGATTATCTGGTGGTTCTTTGAAAATGGCCACATCCCATCCTGCCTTTCAATTAGGGCTTAAGCCAATGAACTGCCAAATACAGGATCTTTGCATGGCATATTCAGGTACGAAAACTAGAGCTTTTCTTTTAATGGAAATTAACTGAACTAAAACAACATGGAAAAGGCAAAATATAGTCTGGACCAGAAAGGACATCTGAGTGTAGGAAAGGCCGAACAGGGGGTAAGCCAATGAACTGCCAAATACAGGATCTTTGCATGGCATATTCAGGTACGAAAACTAGAGCTTTTCTTTTAATGGAAATTAACTGAACTAAAACAACATGGAAAAGGCAAAATATAGTCTGGACCAGAAAGGACATCTGAGTGTAGGAAAGGCCGAACAAGGGGGCATGCCTGAGACCATGTGCTGGTTTTGGCTGGGACAGAGTGAATATCCCTTTCCCAGCTCTCACTAGCAGGTGCCCCAGTCAGGCACACTCACTCACTCATGCACGCAGGAGTTTACGGAAGGGCTGCCTGGGCTACACCTGTTCCATGGGGACAGCAGGCAAGTGCTCCAAGACTTCGAACAAATGCCACTTGTCAACATTCAATCCACAGAAAATACATGCCTGAAAAAACGAGCTAACCTAAAAGGCTTGCTGTTAGACAGTGGACCCTGGATGTGATTTCCTACAGAAAGCTGGAAAAGAACTTTTAATGTTCATTTACTTGCTATTTTTATACAGCCATCTGCAAGTGTAAAGTAAGTCCTTTTCTCCTGCTCATCGTTCTCTATTGGAAATATTCTACATGGCTCTTCCTTTCCCCAGCACTTCAGCAGCTGCCGCAGGATTTAACCACCTGCTAATCCCTGGCTTGTCCATTGTGCTCACTGAGGGCGACAGGGATTTCCTCCTGGGAATACTCACTACGGCCAGCGGCAGCTGCTCAGGGAAGCAGCGGGCAAGAAAATGCACCCAGCATACACAACAAACCATAACTGCATTTCCTCCACGTTTCTGGGCACATGCCCCCTCTGCTCTTACAAAGTTCCCTATTTTAAAGGGCCTGATCAAATAGAGAATGCTTCAACGTGACTGTAAGAAAACCAGGACAAACAGATTTCTCTGTGCATTTCTGCATCTCTCAGGAGGAAGATGCTGTATTTTTAGGTCATGATCTTTGGAACATTACAGCATGCGATCTCCAGGCATCTGAATGCTTTGGACTGAGCCAAAAAAACCCCAGAGCTAAGACCAAGAGGAATGCCACAAAGAAGCATCCATTTTAAGCTGATGCTTTATTTCTAGTCCTAGAGGTCACAGACAAAAAAAAAAAAAAAAAAAAAAAAAAATGTAGACAAACCTTTTCCCAAATAAAAGCACACTATCCATTCTTCTCCTTGCCTTCCCAAAATGAAAGCTTTAGTGAAGTGCTTAGTGTATAAGTGAGCATTTCTTCACAGCACAAGGCAGAAATAATGACTATGCCTGTTGCTCATTTTTGCATACAAGGGGATTAGTGACTCACTGCAGACTGCTGACTTCTGTGTGGTGGGATGTTTTGGCACATATGCCATTGGAAAGAAGAAAAAAAAAAAATCAGTCACAGCTCCAGCAAATGTCGGAGCAGGCCATCTGCACAGATTCAGTATAGCTGTATTTTTCAGCCATTTTGTGACATTATTATTGTATATGCACACTCCCAGTTCAAAATGCTTATGGTAGAATTTGCCAAAGCGTTATGGCTTGTTCAGTCCTGCTCCCACTGAAGAAAGACCCCCATTAATTTCAGTGGGAGCAGAATTTGCACAATTTGGAAAGATACGGGGAAAAAATTGCTTCTCATTTAAGAAAGTTCCAATTTTCCCTTATACATGTGGATTTGTAACATCTTTCACATTACAGCGTTCTTCAGGTGTTTTTATATGACAAGAACTGGCCGAAGTGAGGACTGGACATAACAAGCACAATGGAAGGAGTCAGTGGGCACTGACCCACTCATTTTCTGCTTAGGAGTAGGGAAACATCCTGACAATCCTGGCTGTTTGGGTTAGGTAGCAGATCAGGCCTCTTGTCGGTATAGGTTAATGACATTTGACAGAAAATCAATCTGCCACCATTTATTCCGGAGTAAAACATATTAAGACATACAGCCCTAGTTATGGGGGGGCGTGGGGGGGAACACTCCAAAACCAACAAACAAAAACATTTTTCTATTTTTATTCACCTAACATCCTGGGGAAGTTCTAGTGTGCAGCACTTCAGCCTACTTTCCAAATTTTAAATGTAATTTAGTAGGCACTGATCTGTAGACTGCAAAAATTAAGTACTTATCTGAGAACTGAGAATGCCTGGGAAGTTTATGATCCTGCACATGCTCATTCAGAAAAAGGAGGGAATGATTTTCAAGAGTGTTTACTAACCAGCCCCTAGTGATTATTAGCTGTTGTTTGGAAACATCCAGAGGCCCCAAACACCAGTAGGCACTATTTGTGCTGGACACCTCTTCTAATTACCTTACAGAGAGCAACAACCCCAAGGAAGAACAAAGCAGCAGAACAACTCCACACGACACAGTAATGCAGAGCACAGCAGAGCAAAGTTAAGGTCTCCTACATCCCAACACAGTCACACCCTAAGACTATATTGACCCTTCATGGTTCATGCTCATCATATTGCACGAATCAGACGTTACTTCTGTTTAACTCGGATGGTGTAAAAAAAACATGATAATGCAAGAAACCCAGAATCATTACAAACAAGCTCTATCATTTTGCACAATATGCCATTTTCATTCCTGCAATAGTTGCAGGAGCCTAGTTTGCAGACCTGTACGCGTAACACCTTTGGAGGTCAGTATTCTCTAACTGCCTTTGGACTTGTCACAGTTCACAGGCAAGCCAAGAGCATGATGAGGCTGAATGGCCTGCCAGTACACCACAAATTAAATTGAGGATTCAGCTTAATGAATGTTTGGCTCAGCTGGAACAGTTTCCATATTAAGCTTGTAAGCTTGCTTGTATGCAGTTTGGTTCAGGCCATTTCAAATCCACAACTCACATCCTCATTTTAAGCATCCTAACAAAATAAAACAAATTTAAATCAACCCATTGCCATGGAATATTTACTTTTTAGCAATCTTTCTTTTCCAAAAGAAAAATGGTTTGTTGGAAATTTTTTCAGCTACCTCTTTAGAGCTGGACTTCACTCTCCATGGGCTGGAATGACTGACACAAGCTAACATGAGTGAATTCAACATTCATTGAAATTAGGAGCAGATATCACTAGCTCTGTTTGGATTCAGTTCGGGGCTGCGGTTAGATGTTCACTACAGAAACAGCAGTGTCACGATGAGATATTCCTGCCCTGGGGCTGCTTGTTGCAACCCCACAGCTCAGTTGGTGGAAAAGTTCTTGTGACTGTTTACCATCTGCTTCAGCACAAAGTCAGCTGGCTTAGTTTAAAGAGTCCTTATTATCAGCTAGAGCCAAATGCTCCATGGCCTCCTCCACAGGGCTGTGCCAAAACTACTTGTATCAGGCTTGTAACCTGCCTGCAGTTATGTGTCTGACCTTCCCTTGACAGACGGCCAAATATATTCCTAAGCTTTTTAAGTGACGCAAACAAGGACAAAAATTAAGGTCTCATGTAGGAACCTAGCCAAAAGCAGAACGCAGTTCTGGGCTACCTGACTTGAGGTAGCATCCTAGCGTGCCATTCCCAAACAACGCAGGGCATGCATGTTTTTTAGACATACAGACACTTGAACAGGTAAATACTGTAGTGAGAAATCCAAGGAGCTGCTATTACAACTTCAACTGCCAGATCACGGTAGATGAGGAGATCTTGTTCCCAACAGATGTTGCTTAATTACCGTATGATAATACAGTGGTTAAAGTAATTCATTCATGCTCACTGAAGAAGTTCTGTCAAATATATACCATAAAAAAAAAGGAAAGGCATTTGAAGTCAGAACTCACTTGGTATTAACACAAGTCTAATTTTGCAGGAGCGACTGTTCCACATCTAATTATATAAATACAAAAATCAATACCAAAACTGGCATGCACTGGAAAAGAACAGCTGCTCAGTCCTGCATACTGTAGTATGATTATTCGTGAAGCATTCAAAAGGCATAGATCTAATCCAGGGTCACCTGGCTAAAATAGCAGTATTAGATCTGAAAACCTGTCAGTCAGTGGAACTACCACAGTACCAGAAAAGGAAACCAGCTTCACATTGTGAACTGTGCATAATGAGGATTCTTTCGAGCATCCTTTTATCTTATAGGTATGTCATTCCTTCATTTTGTGACACTTCTGTACTGTATGTATGCATCAGTCTGCCACAGTCTAAAAGCAGTTTTCCCTACCATATTCTCACTCCTCTACCACCCCTGTGGCACAGGTTGGTTGTATATGAAATAGCCAAATGTGTCATGAGTTTCTCCCCCCAAGAGCCTCAGCAATGGAGCTGGGAATGGAATTTGTTTTTCTGTCATCTAACCTTTTTTTATCATGTCAGAACATTTTTGCTCCAAACAAATAGAAAGTTAAAATCTTGATGAAAAAAAAGATCCAAATGTTTCATTCAGACATCTCTGGTATCTTATATTTTAACTTATAGAGCCTAAAATTACAGTGAAATACAAACCGGCATAGAACTACGCTTTGAAAAATGTCAAAATATAACCTTTTGATAATCTGCCACTTTTTTTCCCCATTTTCTTCTGGGAAAACTTCTCAAATTCACTTACCTCACAAATATTCATGTTTTTGATAAATCTGCTTGCTATGAGGAATATATTTCATGTACAAACTGTAACCAGTTCTACTCAGTATGAAAACCAGGAGCCAAGAATACAGCCTGAAAACTAACCCAGGTGAGAACCAACTAACTTCAGTGCTAGAAAAATGTGTTCTTTTACTTCACACTTTTCACATATAACAGTAAGGTAAGAAAGTATAAATTCCTGAGCTTGTTGTAGCATTATTGTTGCTTAAGAATGTATTGCACATGGTAATTTACCTTTGTTGGATTTTGGTTGTTCAGATGAGCCGCTTCCAACCTTTCTCTTTTTCCTTGGAACAGCTGAATTTTTCCTGTCAAAGGTAATAGGACTGTATTGAGGGAGGCTGTTGAATTTCTTTTCAAATTCTTCTTCCAACTTTGCTAAGCTAAAGGGGAAACAAAACCAATCAAATTAAATGTAACTCCGTTTCTGGAGAAAAAAATATATTGTTTAGGAGCATGTGTGAGTATATACATACCTATCTACAGAGACAGAGTGGGAAAGAGATAAGCACACACACACTAAACATCAAACTAGTATATATTAATCCAACTTTGGGATGAGAACGTACACTCCCGCTTCTGCATTTGTAGCTCAGTACAAATCGATTACATTAGTTGCATATATTAGAATTAGGAAAAAAAAAAAAAAATAAAATCAGTGTCACACTGGTGACATGTAGCTTTGTTTGCTGCACAGATTTGTACAGGAGATTTATCTGTTCTGTGAGGGGAATGAAAAAAAAACGACAATAAAACCAATAAATTAACAAAATAACTTCACATTAAAGTCCTTACAGTGGAATGAAAACAACAATTTAAACCAGAAGAAAAATGTCAAACTATTCAGTCTTCTGGGGATATTCTAAAACCTGATGCTTTGGGGTGGGAATTAGCTTTGTATTTGTTCTGAGGGATTATATTTCCTCCCCTCATATTTTACTTGTTGCAAGATGAAAAATGCAACTCACTCATGCTTTCAGGAAACTCAACGTCCCTCATACTTCAGCCCAACCTGAATGACTGTAACTAGATTACCTAAAACTCAAGAAATCCACAGACATGGTATTGTTGTTCTTAACAGCCAGATGAACACAAACCACTCGAACAGGATGGTATGGCATGGCATTTCTGGCTGTAATGACTACGCTGTCTTGTATCAGCACTCTGTTCCAGCAAATTTTTGCAGCCAGCAGGAGCACAGGACGGAATTGTATTTTAATAATAGGCAGTGCGCACAGCTAGGCAGATTATAAATAGCACCGGCAATGACAGGGGAACAATGACATTTTCTACTCGTCTTTAATTCTGTTTGCTACGGAAAACCTGAACTTGACCAAAGTTGGCATGACTGTTAGAGGGATGGCCCTTACACACTGTACACTTGGAAATATCACAAGAAACATGGCCTTTCTCTCTGTTCTCTGACGCAGCACATCAAACAGATTGCATTCTGAAAGCTTTGGTACACACAATGATAATTCATTTTATATTCGTAATCATTACTTCTTTTGGTAAGCAATCTTCCATCTAAAATACAGCCTTGGCTCTTGGCAGACTGTGCTCATGGTGGGGTTTGTTTGTTTGTTTGGGGGGTGTGTGTGCGCGCGCACATACTTTGTTTTGTTTTTAAATCACAAAGATATCTGACATTAGCAGTGCTCGGTACTGCTACCTCTCTCCTCCACGCGGATGTTCCCTGACAACCACAAAACGAGGCTATTTTCTGCTCTGACAGCTGTCATGCAATTCCATCCTCTGCCCCAGCTCCTCTCCCACTGCCTGTTGCCACCTGCCTTGTCTCCTGCCCCCAAGGGCATATGAGGGGCTGCAGCTCTAATTAGCAAGGACCTACCCTGAAAGCAGAGGAGCTGCCATCCTGGCTAGTAATTTACAGCTTGTGTGACATGGAGGCAGTAGAGAGTGCTGCTATCACTATGTCAGCGATTAATTATTTAAAAAAAAAAAAAAAAGAAATCATTCACATTGTCATGAATTTTCAGAGCATCTCACAAGCCTGGTTAGACACACGTAGCTGAGCTGAGGTCTTCATGTCGTACAGCCTAGTCCTGCCATCAGATACAGGCAGGCAGAGCACTGCTCAGCAAAGGAGCGGGATGCACATGGACAATGCACACTTGACAGGGACCATCAAGGAAGTGTGGGCAACTACTGAGGAGAAGAAGGTAAGAGAACTCAGGGATAAAGACACAATTCCAAAGGGGTGAGGACCCTCCCCCCTAGACACACACACAAGATGAGGCTGAAAGGTGATGCTTAAGGGAGCAGAAAGAGTTAGGAAGAGCAGGTAGAGGTAAAATCAGCTCTGCAAGTAGCCAGAAGATCAGGTAGTGCAATGAACAGGGATAACGGATACCTTCTCCAGCACTTACGCTCCACAAATTACCAATTCTGCCTTTACAGAGTTCACTAAATAATATTCATTAATGACACAACTGAATCTTTTCCCCATCCAGCCAGCTAATGATGGTAGAACAGTATTTGTCAAATGAATTAATTATTTACACAATTTTCCTACCTACTTTGAATAAATCATTTGTAACTACATTTTTTTTTTTTTGCTAGGAGATGCATGTAGTTTTCACACCATTAGGTGTAAAAAGTTTCCAATCTTTCAATTTAAATTTAAAAAATATTTAGTAAACTTACATACAATGCACTAAAAATACAAGAAGTGTTCCACTATTTTTTCTTGACTATTCCAAGCAAACAAGACTTGCAGATTTTCATCAATTTAATATCTTTGCTGTAAAGCAAGATGCAGCTAAATTTCACATAGACTAGGTTATAAAAAAGGCTACCGCAAGCCTGCACAAAAGAAACGCATTACAATTTTAAGCATGAAGTGTGGAAAATCTACTCCCTTTTAATTCATTTTCACCCTCTGAATTCAGATAATTGGAAGTCTTCAAGAATTTGCAAGTAAGTATGAATGGCTAAGCAGATTAACAACTATGCCTCCAGTTAAATAAATCCGTAATACTCTGACAAAAATTGTTATGCATACACTAGAAAAGTAATTGTGTGGCCTTGCTAAATTTTAATCCATTTGTAATCATTAATTTTTCTTGTGATATATTTAATTTCTTCACAGTGTACATGAACAGTTTAAGTATCTTGTCTCTACAACAGAAAAATGATATATTTATCATAATTATTTGCGAATATTAGAACATTGTTTACTCTTTCTCTGTAAGCAATCTCTCCAAGCACGCAAAGATATCTATTCTTTCTAGTCTCATTCTGTTTATGATGATTGAACACCTAGACAGAACTTTAAATACTGCTTGCGAAGTGCTCTGAAAATATAAAGTAACCCTCTTCATCACCTCTTGAGCAGGTAAATATTGCACGATTTTTTTTAGAAGTAAGCAAATAATGACATTCAAATCTGTTTACAGTAGTGTAAACCAGGAAAGATCTCAAAGAAATTACTTTGGTATATAAACAACAGATATCTAGGGCGTGACGCAGCCCAGCAGGGTTTGTAATTTTCAAGAATTCTGTCTAATATTGATTATTTGGGTGTTGGACGCAGTTCATTTGTTGCAATGAGGAGGATTCACTCTTAAGTTACCACACTGACCAAACCAAAACTTTGAACAGTGTTAAGCCGCAACTTACCCAAAAACAAACTCTTCCTTTGGCTTAGGCTTTTTCAGTTTTTTGTTCCCACTTGTCCCACTTTGGGAAAAAGCCCAGTTTTCTTCATTCCAGCATCCTTCATGATCTGAGGAGTTGCCTTTTCCTGAGCTTCTTTTTCCTGGGATGAAGGCAGAAAATTGTTTCTCATCTTCAGAAAAATGTGCCAAAACAAAGTGGGCTCAAAAGGAACTCGTGTACCCATTCAGTACTGCAACTTACGACACCTGAAGGGGTTACCTTCTTGAAGGGGTTACAAATCATTTACTTATTTTAAACTAGATCATGATGATCCTCCCAGGTTTTTATATTACCTTGAAAGTCAAGATCTCTCAAGTTATAAAGGCAGAGAAAAAGATCAGTAGATTTACAGTAATAAATTTCCCTAAATTACAAACATCTTTTTCTTTTCTGACTGTTCTAATTACACGTATGAATCTACTAATTGGAAAAATACATTTCAAGTAATCTCACTGAAAGCTTCCAGAAATTATCTCAAATTTATCCTTCCACAAGGTAAAGGGTTCTTGCTCACCACTTACAGCCAAACTGACAACCAAAGCAAAAGCACAACACATTTGCCTCTTGTAGGACTGAGAGCTATGCTCACAAGCGCAAGAGTTGTTTATATAGAAACAAGCTAATTGTTCAGGGTTACATACAACACAAGTCCTCCATACATCTATCAGCAGGCTGACAAATTAACCAAAGCCTTTGGTCAAAAAGCTAAATCTCAGATCATGAAAGACAAAAAGGGAGAGGTTAAGAGCTTGTGAGGTAAGCAGGAACACAGACGGCGGCAGGACTCGAGAAGACCTGTCCTGGACCATGGAGTCCATCCCTTCCACCCGCCCCCAGCATCTCAGGCGACCAGACACAGCATTCCCATCACACATTGCTCAAACTCCAGCTTAAACACGAACTTTTGCTTTTCTCTCCCACTCCAGGCAGGCTTTTGCAGTTTGTGCTGTAAATGAAACACTCAAAGCCACCCACCTCTGTCCACGTTAGCGCGCAGAGATGTGAGCATGCCCTCTGACACCAGAGTTTTATAAAGAGCACCTTTGCAAGATCTCTCCGATTTCCTGGAGCCACAGGTTTCTATCTTTTTAACACAGTCACTGTCCTCAGTTTTGACCTGTCCTGGTAAGCTTTGGGGTACCACCTCCTCTGTTGGGGTCAGTGGTTCCACTTTAATGTTATCAGAAGCCTCACAGGGAACTTCCTTGCTGGCTGCAATACTAAGGAAATCGGGAGGCTTTGATTCTTTGGTGGTCTCCGTGGGTTTCTCCTTTGATGTCTTCTTCTCTTTTGATTTCACTTTTTTCTTTGGTGATTTTGTATCCAACATGCTTCCCTTCACATTTGAGACAGGGCGGTTTTTTTTGCGGGGAGTTTCCGCGAGTCTCTCAGCACCCCAGTCCCCCTTTGCAACGGCTTCAATTGTATACATTACACTTTCAATGTCCGACTCTGAGGACTGCCTCTTTTTACAAGGTTTCTTGGGGGTAGATTTTTCATTTGTGTGCCGGTCCAACTTATTTTTTTTCTTTTTCTTCTTTATCTTTTCTGGCTTTAGCCCGAGGATATTCATGTCAGCCATTGAAAGCTCTGGAGAACAGCACATGTGATCCTTTGCGTTATCGTTTCTCTCAAAAGCACTGCTCTCCATTGCAAGACTAGTAAAATCTCTGCATTTTGCAGTTTCTGATTCCTCAGCTTTTGTCTCATCCCGGTTTTGCATTTTCTCTCTCTCCGATTGTTCTACTTTTCCTTTACAGGAGTCTTTTAATGTTGTTTTCTCCAGTTCTTCTACTTCCATTTCCTCTGGAACTTCCCTTCCCACATCTTCCGGAGCTTCCACTTTTGTTTTCCCAGGTTCTTTCACTTTTACTCCTTCCGAAGCAAGGCACATCTAAAACGAGTTTAAAAATAGTCGCGTGAAACAAACATCACCTGTTAACATTACTTACCTATATTAACAGGAGCATTACACAGGGAATCTCTCTGGCATCTTAGTTCAGGAAAGCAAACTATGCTAAAGGACAATACTGAAAGAGACACTGAAGCCCTACTGAAACTGATGCGACGTGATGATGGCTAAGTGCTAGAATAAGGCTGGCGGGTTTTACTGCTCTAATAGAAGACTCCAACTGATCTCAGTGGTGCCTCCATGATCCTTTAAGTGCCTTTTACATAACCTGGAAACCCACTGCTAGACTGATTTTCAGAATACCCTAAATGCAACAGAACAATACAGTATCTCTCACTATTGCCACAGACAAGTTACTTGAAATCTCACATCCATACCCCCTTCAACTCCCAAATGTCCCTATATACAATTCTTTCCTCCATCTTCCAAATGGCCCTGAAGGAGGGTGGGAAAAAAAAGTTAATCAAATCTCAGTAATTGAGATTATTTTCTTTTACTTGAATGTGAAAAATAATTTGGAAGGTAGTAAAAAAGCCTTCCAAATCTTTCTTCTCATGTCACAGAATTATTTTGCAAAGAACTGCAAAGCAGCAGTGGTTGCCATGGTTATCTCCTCCTGGAGATAACATTAATGGAACCCAAAACCTTCATACTGTCTGTAGGAACAGCAATATTAAAAAAAAAAAAAAAAAAAAAAAGAGCTGTAACAAGGTCCTCAAACTGCCGCGTTCCTGTAGCACTGACTTGGGAGATCCTCTCGGTTTTGGATCACCTGTAAGCTACGCTGACACTGCTACAGAGGGGCGTCCTTCACAGCACCAAGCAGTTGCCCTTGGGACTACATGCTTTCTTCTTCTTACTCTCCCTTTCAAAGCACCCAAGCTGAATTCCCAGTGTTATTTTGTTTTTAAAACAAATGCCAACCAAACAGCCACCTGGAGGAAAAAGAGATGGAAGAGGCTTGCTTTGAACCAGACATCAGGATTCCCTATCCCGCAGCTCAGCCCACGGGCCACATGGTCAGTATGGATGTACCCTCCAGATCATTGGGTTCTCTTTAGATCAATTTTAGATTTCTCAAATCAGCAAGGCATTTTTTTCCTTGCAAACTAAATACACCTCTTACACCAATATATGTATGAGCATAACACCAATGACAGAACTCTTTGGGGTAAGTTTCTGACATTCTTGCTGCACAGGGCAGAAGGCTCCTGATCCGGCTCAGGTCAAGCTAGGTTGACCACTGGAAACATCAGAGCTTGGGCAGCACAGTGTCTATGAGGAAGCAGGTTAAATTATGCAGAGGAGAACCCCACAACTATGCTGAGGTGGGTTCTTGGTACCAAGGTACTTCTGTGACTTTTTTACTGCACTGCAACGTAAACGCAGCCTGTGATTTTCAAAAGCTGAGGATCAGTCTTTAAAAATGCAACTCATTGGGCAGTAATAATATTTTGTCAATTAAACACACACCCCCCTCGCCAACAGATTTTTGTTTTCTGTATACCTTTGCTGCTTCTGCAGTAGCCAATAGTACAACATTTCAATAAGAGGCCATTGGTTTTAACTGTTCCCAGAAGGAGGATCTGCTGAGAGTATCATAAGAGTTTCTATAGAAGTTATTGACTTATTTATTCCCCACTTCAAAAAACAGTATGCATGAAAAGCAAAAATAAATGAAAATAACTAATGACCTTTAACAGGTATTTATTTGTAATGGCAATGCCCTAATCTGAGTAACAAACTAATCTAGCCCTCTCTCTCCACTCCTTGTGCTTTCCCAGCCAAACCAAACAGTCAAAACCCCAAACCCTAAAACAAGGAATTGAAACAATTTCAATGGTGATTGGAAAGTCCCTCTGCCACCAGGGCCTGGCACTTCTTCTCAGCTGCAGCACAGAATCTCAGAAACCTCTAAGTTGTTGGCTGCTCTAGGGAAATCTTGACTTGTGGCACCCAAGCCACGATAATTTATGCCTCTATAAGCAACAGTGTAATTATAACTGTAGCACTGTTCTGCCTTCCAGACTTCGGCAATCAACATCATTAACTTCTCCGCCCCACTGCACCTGTGGTAATTAGTCACCAGTATTTTAATATTACCTCTGCCAGCTGAAATAATGCTGATGTTCCACACTGTTTTGTTAAATCAGAAGGACCTGAATGGGATGTACTTGAAGAAATCTAAAGAAAAAA